TCCTCGCCTTCTCTGAAGCCGCGCATTCTAGTGACAATGTCAACACACAGAAACGGCCTGGATGCCTGAGCCACCGAAGTATAATGTGGAAGAGAAGCCAACCTTTGTTTGACTAAACTACTGGGGCTTGGGACTTGTTACTGTAATAATGCACACACCTAGGCTGCATGATAAAGACTGAGCTCGGAGGTGTGTGTGTGTGTGTGTGTGTGTGTGTGTGTGTGTGCGCACACGCACACGCGTGTGTTTTAACTTTTCGGAGTCTCAATTTTTTCTTTTGAAAAATTTTAGTCATAATAACATCATGTTGTTGATTATAACGTCTATTGTACTCAAGGCTATTTTCACTGTAAGTATCAAGACCCCAGTCATTCTGGCTAAATCAGAAAGGTACAGTCGACCCTTGACTGACAAACTCAATTCGTTCCTGGGGACTGGTTGTAATTCAAGTTGGTTAAGTGCCTTCAAAGTCTCCCTCCTGTGTAATTTTAGGCCACACTTTCTTCTAGGTAGATCTCAGTGTCCTTAGAGAGACGATGGCCCAGGATTTCTCAGTTAACCCCACACAGGAAAACTGTTCTTTCCAGAACGCTTTAAGGGTTAAATCTGTGTCTGAGACCATCCAGAAGAAGAAGCAGCCAGCATTCGGGTCGTAAGTCAAGACTTTATTTGTAAATTAAAACTAAAATTCCAGTCATAACCCAAGTTGTTCGTATCCAGTCGTAACTCGAAGGTCCACTGTTATTCACTGGTGTCTCGGTCTCTGTCTGACACCTAAGTTCCTGGAGGAAAAATTCTGACATGCTCAGCTGTGTGAAGTGTGTTCCTCTGGCCCAATCAGTAACAGCCAGAGGCCAGAGTCACATGAGACAAATGTAGCCTTGAATTTTCCTTTTAAAAACAGAACCACAGACAGAGCAGGCGCCCCAGGATGTCTGCCATCCTCCGGGCAGTAACGCTGAGCTTTCATGAAAGAGCACACATCAGGAGAGGATTGCATGGAAAGCATGTTAGGAGAGTTTTCCCCACAAAGAATGGTGGGCCTGTTATACTCCAGAGTCCCCTTTCCAGGGCTTGGTCTTCAGGCAGAGGCCTCTGCTCGAAGAGCAAGACTTTAATTGTTCAGAGGTTTCGTTTGTCCTGATCCTCGCAGAGCCAGGTCATCAATAACTTCGTGGACACAAATGTATTAACGTTACTGAAATACCTGCGAGAGGAGCGCCGTTCCCCCTTCCTCTCCCTGCCATGAGCTGTCACCATGGCTGCTCCATAAGTTTCCATTTTGATTTGGGCCCTGAAAGAACTTTGGCATTTGCTGAAAGGTCAGCAGCTGCAATTTCAGGCCCTGTGAGTAACTTGAACTTCTAACATTTAAATGTAGCTTCAAAAGGGTATGACTGCTACTGTGGCCAGTGTCCACCTGTCTGGACAGCAGTGAAATGGGCTCTCTGAGGACCCTTCATGGGGCAGGCATTGACAGCTTCTAAATGACCTTTGCCATGGGCCGGGGATTTAGCTCAGCAGTTTGGTGGTCTGCCTCACAAGCGCAAGGACCTGAGTTCGATCCCCAGTACCACAAAAAAAAAAAAAAGACTTTGCCAATCTGTTTCTTTCCTGATCTGAAAATTACCCAAACTTCTCACTCTTAAGGTTCACAGAGCACTCAGCAGCCAGCACCCTTCCAGCTGTCTGTGCTGAAACCCTGGCTTTTTTATTTGCTTGCTCGTCTCATTACAAATCTGTCATGAACAGCTAGCTAAGTTAATGAAATGCAATAAAAAGAATTCTTGGAATGGCCAAAAGGATGAAAATATACTCAATACTGTATCTGAAATAATTAGAGAAACGCCTCTCTCAGCCACAGGGAGATGCCATTTTCCACCCATGTGGATGGCTCTTACAAGAGGAAGAGAACAAGTGTGGGTGAGGATTTGTGGACACTGCGATCTTTGTTCATGCTGGAGGAAATGTCAAATGGTACAAAATGGTGTGGAAAATGGTATGGCAGCTCCTCAAGGAATTAGACAGAATTACCGTACACTCCACAGTTCAACTTCTGGCTATCTATACACCTCAAAGAATTAGCAAGCCAGGACTCGAGCCGATGGTGATTATTCAAAATAGCCAAAAGGTAGAAGCAGCCCAAGTGTCCAAGGACAATGAATGAATAGATAAGCAAAGTCTGCTAAATATAAAATTCAGCCTGAAAGAGGAGAGAAATTCTGATGCAGGCTGCATCATAGATGACTCTTGAAGCTGTTCTGCTAAGTGAAGCAAGGAAGTCACAAAAGAGCACATATTCTATGATGCCACCCATCCATCCAGACAGAAGAAGAAAAAGGTAGACCAGGGGTTCTGGGAGCCGAAGCAGGGGGAGTGGGAGATTCTGTTCAACCAGCACCGACGTTCAGTTTTAGAAGACAAAGTCGCAAAGATGGATGATGGTGGATGTACAACAACGTGAAGGTGCTTAGTGCCACTGAGCTACATGCTTAAAAATGGCTAAAATGGTAAAGAAATTCCTGAAAAATGACACAAAGAACCATACACAATCTATGCCTTAATTGTTTAATGTTAGATTGCAATTTCATTTAAGTTGAAATTATTTCTTTTTTTTTTCTTTTTTTAAAAATTAATTTTATTGGTATATTTAAGGTATACAATGTAATGACATTCATCATTGGAGATTTGCACCTCTACATAACCCATCTTGGTTCTTATTTTTTCCCCATTCCCCTGCTTCTTTTTGTTTGTTTGTTTGTTTGTTTGTTTGTTTTGAGAGAGGATCTCCTCTGTCATTCACTTGGCCTTGACCTCTTAGCAATCCTCCTGTCTCAGCTTCCCAAATGCTGGGATCACAGGTGTGTACTGCCACACCAGACATAAATTGTTGCATTTTCAAGTGTATATTTTAGTACATATAATCAGAACAAATGTAAGAGGAAAATTGCTACAGAAATTCTGATTTTTCTACCTAACTCCTAGTGGACCAATATGGTATGTAGACTGTGCATGATCTACTTTGCATTTTGTTTTACAGTAAAAGTGACTTTTTGAAAATGTACACTTCCAGGAATGTTAATAAATAAATAGATTTAAGCAACTGTATCAATAATCAGGATATAAGATATTTCATGTCTGTAGAAATCTCCCTTGTCCTATGCATCTCCACACACTTGGCAATCACAAAGTTGTTCTCTATCACCATGAATTGATCTTTCTGAGAATATCACACACATGAAATCCTATAATACACCATCTTTGGAGACCGGCTTCTTTCATGCAACATAATTCAGGTAGACTAGCTTGTTCCTTTTCATTGCTGAAAAATATCCATTCTATATATTTACCAATTTGTTGCCCATTCACTGCTGAGGAACAATTAATTGCTTGCAGCTTCTGACATTATAAAGAGAGCTGATATAAATAAATATCCATGACTGGATTTTTGTGTGATTACACTAATTTCTCTAGAGCGGATGTGACAGTTCCCTCTGAGGGCATTGCTTTGCCTGATCACCTGGGAAACCCTCTCGCTCACATGGCGATGTTAGAGGGAAGAGGAAACCTGAAAACAAGTCGGCAGGCTGCTCTCTGCATCCTGCAGTCACTTCCTGGCCCAGATCTCAAAAATTCAGATATTCAGAGAGCACTTTGTGCCCACAGAATGACAAAAAGGGGAGCAAAAGTCAGCAGACCCAGGATACCAGAGAGGGGTCTCTGACGGAATCTCTGAAGAGCTGAGAGGATACCATAGCCACAGTTCAACAAATGCATGGTCTAAAAGAAAATAAACCCCTGCATTTATAAACTTCACTGAATTTTTTATTTTAGCTAAGCACATTCTAATTGAAATAAGTGTCAAGGGGGAGGGATATCAAGGTGAAAAGCAATGCTCAAATTCCTAATTATCTATGTACAAATATTAATTATAGGTATGAGAAAAACCAAAAGATTCCTAGCAAAGTATTAAGCATCCACTTTGTACCAGGCACATGCTATCATCTTAATCCTCACAATCACTCTGTGAGGTGAACATTTTATTGCTATTTGCATTTCTGAGCAAGGAAACAGCTTGCAAAAGTTATAGTAATGTTGCCAAATTGTCTAGCTTGGGACTCAGAACCAGCTCTGTCTGCCCTTAGAGAAATGCATCAGCCACCACACGCAGACCACCCGATGCCGGGCCACTACCTACACCCTCATTGGCTCTCACAGCAACTATTCTAGGGAGTGGGCTGATGGCGAAGACTTGCTTTTGTTTGTTTGTTTGTTTGTTTGTTTTGGTACGAGGGATAGAACTCCAGCCCTTGCGCTTGCAAGGCAGGCAGTGGAACCACTGAGCCAAATCCTCAGCTTTGCTTTAGTTTTTGACATGTACTCAGGTTTCGATTTTAATAAGAATTTTTGTTATAAAATGCAAATCCAGAGAAGTTGACAAAATAACACTGGTGCTAGAAACTATGCAAGGAATATAATTTTGTTCTTCCAGATTTGTATATGTACTATGAATATCCATCCAATAGCATACACTTTATGGAAATAAACTTATTTGGAAGCAGCTTGGCTAAAGAGACCCTGGGATTGCCATTATTTTATTGTGTGACCTATGCCCCAGATAAGATATCCGCCAACCTGTCACATAACCAAGGGAGAGCCGGGTTCTGCAATAGAAACGTGTAAAGAATCCTTTCGTACCCTGGAATAAGAGGTCCTTACGAATCACTTTCTGTTAGCTGAGTCTACACTAAATGGCTTCATCTTCAAATCTTTCAAGAGGGGCGCCCACGGAGAGAAAGCAAGTCCGTGTTTCCAGTCAGCCCAGTTCTATTTGCAGCCTGCTCGTGGCCTCTTGGCAGGTGTCACTATCAGCAGGCCCGAGTGGCTTCCTTGGGGGCTTGTCCAGTTATTTCGGTCACGTGGGCAGGGGCCCTTTTCCTTAAAGGTCCTGGCACTGCCTGCACAGGTTTCTTAGCAGCTTGCACCCTGCAGAGCCAGATAAGAAGGAGTTCCCACTAGGAGAAAAGGAGGATTCGAAGCGTTACCGCCCCAATGACAGACAGAAGCCCCTTCGAAACGGACATGCTCACCCTGACCCGCTACGTTATGGAAAAGGGGCGCCAGGCCAAAGGGACCGGGGAGCTAACCCAGCTGCTGAACTCCATGCTGACGGCCATCAAAGCCATCTCCTCAGCTGTGCGCAAGGCCGGCCTGGCCCATCTGTGAGTCGTGGGGACACCATGCGGAGCCTGGGCCCAGGCAGGGTCGGGGAGCTGCAGGTGCTAGGGCTGGAAACTGGGTCCAAAGCTTACTTACTTTTTGTGAGTGTCTAGTTTTTATTATGCGCTTTCATAAGAAAGGAACTGAATACTTTAAGACATGCTATGGAGGAAAAAAAAACATATTATTCTCTCCAGTTTCCACTTCTTTTAATAGTAACAAGGACAGTGGCTTGTTGCATCAAAGCACATACTGAATTCTCGTACTCATATTTGCATACAGAGATTCTCGCCGGAATCTTGAAGTAGTTCTTGGAGTCCTTTGTAGATCTGAGCATTTGTGACTGCCAGCACATGAGGAGCTAGAAATCATTCACAAAATAGATCTCAAGGCTCCTGTCCTCTTCTTCCTATCTCGCCATAGGCTGTTTTAAAATTTCTTCTGTGACTCTTTATGTTCATCTCTATTTGGTGTGCAGGAAGCTGGGAGGAGGCCTAGGGGCTGGGGCTGAGAAATCTTCTCACAAGTATGTGCTCTTTCCAAGCACAGAATGAGGCTGAGTTCCTGCTACAGCTGCTGATGGTCACAGCCAAGCATCCAGCATAAATCTCTGATAAAAACAGACTTTCTTTGGGCTTTGATTTTTCTTTGTAGTAATTTCATCTCTGAAGAAAAAGGACCCACATTTTGGAATGGGAGGAAGCAGAACCCCAAAAACCAGTTATTTAAAATATTTATTTTTAGCAATGTG